TTATTGAATTTGTGATTGTTAAAGGATTTCTGATAGTAAAGTTTTCGATATCGTCCAAACCAATATGGATAAACACATTGGAAAACAGATCGACAATAATGGGAATGAGAAGGTTAAAATGGTTTACGATGACAAACGGACTTCGAGTTCCGGAAGTGAAGACAATGATCAAAGCGTTTGTATTGGTAATGGATTAATATGATATCGCATTCGTTTTAATCGACAGTTCTCACATTTGACAATTCTCACTTATCTTGCAAAAAAGGTGACTGCAGCTGACCTGTTGAACAACTTCTGTATATTCATGAGTTGGCTCTGTTGAGAGATTCAATCATTTTACAGACGAAGACATATGAAGTTAACACATAATGCATTAGATGTTCATATGAAGACATAGGGACACACACAGACATATGAACACATTAAAAACCACACAGCCTTAGATGCCGTGATTCACAAGTGTTCATGTCTATTCAAGTCACTAGATGTTCATATGAATCTATATACACACACAGAGAACATGTGAAGACATGTAAGCACGTATGAAAACATACAACCCTAAATGTCTTGGTTCATACGTGTTCATGTATATACAACAGAGTTGGCTCCTGAATATACAGAAGATGTTCATACGGTTCACATGTTGTTCATACGGTTCACATGCTGTTCATATGTCTATATATATACATATGTGTGTGTTCATATGGTTCTTACATTAACAAAAAGATTGAGATTTTTTGATTTTGTAACCCCCAATTAATGATATGAGAGTTATATAAAAAAGAAAATTATCTAAATAACCTTTCCCCTTTGTTTACATATGTTTTTTAAAATTGTAAATTTAAAAAATTAAATTTTTACCATGATTAATCACAACCGTTTATTGTAAGAATCAATTGCCAAGATTGGTTAACAAAGTTAACACAGTAATCTTGGTTAACATTTGAACCAACCCCTATATATATTTGTATATATGTATATATATTTCTGTATATATATATATATATATATATTCGTATATATATGTATGAATGTGTATATGTGTATATATATATATATATATAATTCTGTTTGTATATTTATGTATGCATTTCTCTGTGTGTGTGTGTATATATATATATATATATATACATATATATATTTCTGTTTGGGTTGCCATTTGTTGGGCAAATGTTAGGATTGTTTTGGCTACAATTTTGTATGTAACACTATTGTTTTGTCTGGAAACGTCCGATTTACAACCGTCATGCTGTCAAAATTGACTTGTAATCTTTTTTAAATCATATATAAGATGACTATTCAACGGGTCTTACCCAAAGATACGATGATGATCCCTCCACCTATCCCTTAGTTGATAAAGAGTTGTGGGAGTAGGCGGTTGGGGGAAGTAAGAAAGGCCATCTATTTGGGTTTGGGTACAACCAGGATCCCAATTGGGTCTTGACTGGGAACTACACACAAGGTGGTTCATCGTCTTCAGAGAGTCGGGTATGTGCCTCTTTTGCTTTGATGATGTTTATCGATTTTGTTTATAATTCATATTAAATATTATAACGTTTTATTTATTTCATAGGAAATTGAAATCTTAAGGACCCAACTTAGAGACTTACAGGATCATGAGCGGACGGAGGAGGAGCGATGGCGGGCGGCGGAGAAGCAACAACGGGCGGAGGAGGAGCGACAACGGGTGGTGGAGAAGCGACGACGAGAGAAGAAGGAGCAACGGGATAAACAATTTGAAGATATGACTGCTTTGATTAGACAGTTCAGTCAATCTCAACATTTTCCCTCCGTCATCGAATTGAATATTGTCTGTTTATTTGAAACAATTTAGTTTTTGGACCAATTTAATTTTTGTTTGGTTGGGATAATTGTCTTTTACTTTAATGTATGATATTTATTTGCATTTTGTCTTTTTAGTTTTTTTAATATTTTACAGATTTTAAATACAAGTTTTAAATATTAATTGTAAAAATAATCTAAAATTAATATTTATATATTTTTCTGGCGGATTTCCGGCAGATGTGTCTGCCGGTAAATTAATCCATTTTATAAAAAAAAACATAAATATTTTCTTAATTTAATCACGAATTTTTAAATAAACCGGTGGAAAGTTTCCGACGGCTGGGATGCGCCGGAAAATGGCAAAATCCGCCGGTGAATCTGTTGGGAAATTAATCACTGGCGCCAAGATTTCTGATGGCTATATCTGCCGGGAATAAAGATTTCCGATGGATGTAGCCGCCGGAAATGACGCACTGTTTGGTAGTGGTTGGAAGAATGGAAGGTAGGCCATAGTGAAGGGGGTGGAAGGGGAGATGGAGATAGGTGGTTGTTGCCGGAGATCTGATCGTTGGTAACTGTCGGAGAAGGTGGTCGGGATTCGTTGAGGAGGGTGGTCGGTCACCGGACTGACTATTAGAATACTGGACATCAGCAACTAATAAATTGCTATGGACTGATTCGTCAATAATTTGCGATGCATCAACTACAAAACCAATCTTTTAATTTTTATTCATATTTTTCTCCGACAGATGTATAATCTATCGCTTATCGGTAGAAAAATGTGCATATTTATTACTAATTAGCGACAAAAAAAGAAACACTTATTTTTTTAAATAAATAAAAAACTAAATTTAAAAATCTGTCGTAAATCAGTCACTAACTAGTTAATAGAAAAACAAAAAATAACTGATGGGAAAGCTTGACCATCATTGGTGGAAGAAACGAAATCCATGGAAAATAGACAACCTGACAAACATGAGGAACTAAATCTAAAAGATTAAAGTTGAGGGACTATATCCATCAAAAGTGACAAACTTTAGAAACCATGAGGAACCAAATCTAAAAAATTAAAGTTGAGGGACTATATCCGTCAAAAGTGACAAACGTTAGAAACTTTTGGGGTTTAATCTTTTTTAAATATATAAAAAGTTGTTTTAATATATTTTCATTTTTCGGGTCATAAATAAGATTTCCATAATCTTTCCGTTACTTTACAACATCCGTATCAAAACTACTCAAACCCCGAAACAAACGCTGTCGTATTGGGGTCTCCTTCCTCACACCTAAACGCCTATTTATTCACGCAGAACACGCACACAAGCTCATATTCTTCTTTCTCTCTCGCTGGAGACAAGAAGTTTTAGAGGGATACAGAGAGAGAGTAGCTATGGCGTCTTGTAGGGTTCCTGGTGTGCTCTTGATGTGTGTTTTCGTGATTTTATTATCGACTGTATTTTCGATCTCTTCTGCTTCTGAGGAGGAGAAAGAATATGTATTGACGTTGGATCACTCAAATTTCTCGGAGATTGTGTCTAAACACAAGTTCATCGTCGTTGAATTCTATGCTCCTTGGTACATCTCTCTTCATTGATCTAATTCATGCTTTTCGTTCGTGTTTCATTCGATGAACTGACAATTTTCACCAACTAATAATTAAGTATTGGTTTCATCGACTTGTGATTATGTGGTTTTTTGTTTTTTTCTTGTTGTGTTCTTTAATTTCGAAGTTTTAGACATTGCATGCAACTGGATTGTTGGGAAATCTAGAGGTTTTGTTCTATTTTTGTGTGTTTGGGGTGAAAAAGAGGAGTTTGAATCAACTTATAGATGATATATATCGGAGGAAGGGAAGAATGTCTTCGATTAAGTTTTATTTATATGTAACGTATGAGTTATCTAACCGCATAGCGTTTCAAAATATTTTTTTTAATGTCTCTTTATGGTTTAATCTATGTTTCTGATATTTTTTGTAATGCGAGCAATACGCTATCGGCCTTATTTTTGGTTCATGTTCGTTTCAATTCGCAAAATGGATCATGTTCCTAGATTAGAAATGAATTTTACTGCTCTGGATCTGGCTTTAGCATGGTGGATGATCGGCCGATTGCTAGTAAAATGTCTCAAATGAGTATTTCAATTTTTGTTAGGAACAGATTTCCTTAAACCTTCTCCAAAACTGGAAAAAGAATGATGGAAAGGCTGAATTCCTCCAAAATCTCCAAAAATGATTACTAATTTTTAGAGATAAATAATATCTTATAAAAGATATTGAATGTTTTAAACAAAAATTCAATGGCAGTCTCCAAAATAAAAATGAATATACATTTTCTTTGGAATGAATTATATTATTAAATTTTATTCAATACATTTAATAAAATATTATTTCTTTTTCTTATGCATTTAATTTCTCTTATACATTTAATTTCAAATATTATAATAGGTAGAAAGAACAAAATTAAAAAATAAAATATAATCATTTTTGGAGAATTTCAATGAATTATATTATTAAATTTTATTCAATTACATTTAATATAATATTTTTTTTTCTTATACATTTAATTTCGAATATTCTAATCTGTGAACAAAAATAAAATATGATCATTTTTGGAGAATTTCATGTTCTTTCTTACTTTCTCCATTTTGGACAAGGTTTTAAGGAATTTGTTGGAGAAAAATTCCAAATCTCCATTTTCATCTCCAACATATTCTCTAAAATAAAGAAAATTGAGTTTTTGTTTTCTATACTGCTCCAAAACAGATTTTCTATCTTATTCATTAAAATAGAGAAACATAAGAGAAAACTCCAAATATATAGAATTCTTTAAAACTCTAAAAGAGAAAAATACGTTTTTTATTCATTCCACCAACGAGATTGGATTAGTATTGTTTGTATAAGCTTTTTTTTAAAATGTATTAGGATTATAAAATTATAGAATATTTTAATAATATAATTAATAATGAAATCTTGGAAATAAAGTATCTGATGGAGTTGAATATTGCTTATTTTAGAGATTTTGACTTTTCAATAATGTTGGAGAAGCTCTAAGTATTTTTTGTTGTTGTTGTTGTTGTTGTTGTTATGTTTGTTTTTCTATTTCTCATGAGTGATATGTCGGAATGAGCATCAGGAATCTCTACCATTAACAAAGCCTATAATTACAATAGGGGGAGCATATGTAAAAAAGTATATCCACATGATAGATAGTCCGAATGGTATAGTAGTGTTTGATGTATCTGTGTGTTTAAACAAAATGTATAGGTTGCACATATTCTGGACCACGATATGCTATAACATGCATTAGTATCCATGTGACTGAAAATGCATAGATCTTAACTTCCTGTGAAAAAGTTGGCCTTCTTTTCCAATTGTATATGAAATGAACTTTGTTTCTGACATTTGCAATTTCTATTGACAGGTGTGGTCACTGTAAGAATCTCGCTCCAGAGGTATATCTATCTTTACTCCATGCTGGTCCCATAAATGATAATTTACAGTTCACCCCTCTATAATGAAGAATAGCTGAAACAATCGTTCTTGTCTATATTCTTCGAATGTGCAGTATGAAAAAGCTGCATCAGTGTTGTCAGGTAACGAGCCTGCAATTGTCTTGGCCAAAGTTGATGCCAATGCCGAAGAAAACAAAGGACTTGCAGAGCAATTTGAGATACAAGGCTTCCCCACAATCAAGATCTTGCGAAACGGAGGAGAAAATGTTCAGGAATATAAAGGCCCTCGAGAGGCTGATGGTATAGTGACTTACTTGAAGAAGCAAACTGGTCCTGCGTCAAAGGAAATAAAAACTGCAGAAGATGCAGATAGACTTATTGATGGCAAAAAGATCTTTATAGTAAGCTTTTTGAATTCTCTCCCTTTCATCATGATCCTTTATGTTCTGTGATTTCCATTGACAAGAGATCAAAATGTCTGTTGCATCATTGCAGGTAGGAATTTTCCCCAAATTTTCTGGGGAAGAATTCGAGAATTTTTTGATTGTAGCTGAAAAGTTGCGCTCAGACTATGATTTTGGCCATACTACAAATGCTGAGCTCATTCATCGTGGGGAATCATCAGTTTCTAAGGCAACTGTTAGGCTACTAAAGCCATTTGATGAACTTTTTGTTGATTTCAAGGTATTGGTGAAGAAATGTATTTAATATCTTTATTCTTTTGCTAGCTTGGTTCTGATTCTTTGTTCTTATTAAAAGTATGAGGTTCTTCATAGCAATTGAACATAAAACCTGTCTGAACTTTCAGAATTTCGAGGTTGATGCTTTGGAGAAGTTCATTGAAGAAGGTAGCATTCCTCTTGTCACACTCTTTGACCAAAACCCTGACAACCAGCCGTTTCTAAACAAATACTTTGGAAGTCCAGATGAAAAGGTACACATCTTATGTGCTTCAGCACTGCCCTTTCATTTCACTTGCCTCTGTTTGTTCTTATGTCATCTTAGTTAGGAGTATTTATTAATTAAGGAATGCCAACTTGAGATGATAAGTGGTTATGTGAATTCCTATTACATTCATGACCAAATAAGACCAAAATCTTAAACTGGCCTATATAGAATATTCATCTCATTCAGTGAAGCCAAGTGCTACGGTGAATTCCGAATTGTTCAGATCAAGTTTGTGATGGCATATGAATCAGCGGTGTCAACAACCTCTTATCCACATGTGCACTTTTAAGCTTTCTGATAAACAAGAGCAATGAAATATACTATCAGTATGTTGTCAGGCGTCATGATGTGCTACCAAGAAGTTATCATCGATGATGCTGAAGTAACTGTGAGCGTGAATTATGTCTAGATTGATCCTACTTTTCTATCCAGTTTTTTATTGATGATAATATGACAGGCTTAGAGCATCTTCAATAGATTCTCCAAAATGGAGAAACTGGAGTTTTTGGAGGTCTTATATTATATTTCTGCTCCATCTAATCCTCCAAAACGGAGAAAGTAGGAGGGGCAGGGTAGAAATCTGTAAACATGGAGAACCCTTAAAATTAAATGCTGTGGAGAGAGAAATATTTTTTATTGTTTCCACCAATTAAACGCTTGAAGTTTGTTGGGTATTGAATATTTTAATACTATAATTAATGATGCTCCATAATGGACAAACAACTCGGGTTAGATAAACCTTGTCGGGTTAACTCAGCCGTCAAATAAGGAATTTACTAACTGTTCTCCATGCCCCTTGGTATTAGTCGAGGTGCGTGTAAGGCAAACCATGGTTAACAAAAAAAACTGGGGTTGGATATTTTTTTTGAATAATTTTATTTTTCTTTCTCCATTGTAGTGGAATTATGGGAAAAATTGTTGGAGATGCTCTTAATAATGGATTTGTTTGTTGTGCTTAGGCAATGCTGTTCCTGCATTTTAGTCATGACCAAATTGATAATTTCAAGTCAAAATACAATGAAATTGCTGGCCTATACAAAGGGAAAGGACTAAAATTCCTTTTGGGTGATGTTCTAGCTAGTGAAAGTGCCTTTCAGGTAACTAACTATCTTCCTCATAATCATATATATTGGTCGATTTCTGTTTTGATTTCAACTCACATACTGATCTTCCTGGATGACCAGTTTTTTGGGCTTACAGAAGATCAAGCACCTGTTCTCGTTGTACAGAACAACAAAGGTCTCAAGTTTATTAACCCAAACGTGGAAATTGATCAAATCGCTCCTTGGTTGAAATCTTATGTGGTATGTTTGGCCTTCTTACCCTGTCTTACAGTGTAATTTTTTTGTGCTTATTCAAATTATCATCTGAACTTAGATTGAAATGAATCAAACAGCATCCGTTTTTGAAATTTTTAGTAATACTCTCTCTTCATGATGTGAACAAATTAGTAACCATACATGCTTTAAAAAAAGAATGCTAAACATATTTTAGATATTATATTCGTGAGCTTGAAACTGATGGTTTCTTGTATATATAATTGCATGCAGGATGGAAAGCTTAAACCATCTATAAAGTCTGAGGCTATTCCGGAAACTAACGATGAGCCTGTGAAGGTGGTAGTTGCCAAGAGCCTCAGAGACATGGTTTTGGACTCCAAAAAGAATGGTGAATAAATGTTATAGCATATAATATGTATTGCAATTAGTATCATGACCATTTGTAATCTTAATTTAATTGCTTGATGATGTACAGTTCTCTTAGAAATCTATGCACCATGGTGTGGGCACTGCAAAAAACTGGCTCCAATATTGGACGAAGTTGCTGTCTCGTTTGAGAAGGATGCTGATGTCGTGGTTGCAAAATTGGTATGCATTTCATCCTTTGAATGATTGTAAGAATAGAAATGAATGTTTGTTTGTTGATTGATGCGGCTTGTATTACAGGATGGAACCAAAAATGATGTTCCAAGTGACATAATTGAAGTTAGAGGTTACCCAACTCTGTACTTTAAGTCTGCAAGTGGTAGTAAATATGTGGCATATGAGGGAGATAGGAGTAAGGAAGACATCATCGAGTTCATTCAAAACAACCGTGATGCTGCTACTTCTGAATCCATCCTCAAAGATGAGCTTTGAAAGATTTATGAGTGTTTTTTTGTTTCTTCTTTTAATTCGGTAGTTGTATGTCATGTGGTCCTTATATAACTAGAGTTTTCTTCTGAGATATGAAGCTAAGTTTCATGTTATTTGCCAATATGATGTGGGTGCTAGCCATATATATAAGAAAATAACTTAACCTTTTCATATATATATATATACCATTTTCTTGATTTTTCTATGGAGGAAGATGGGAATATAGGTGCTATTATATATACATTCACAATCATAGAGTCAAGTTCAAACGAGAAGAGTGCCTCCTAAATAACTAAAAATAAAAAAACAGTTGAATCACGTATAAAATCACATGTATTCATGTGACTTTGTCTTACGACCTAAAGGGGCCAAAGTCGCTCGTGCACCTTCTTTAATTTGCATGTTAATGGTTTTACACGTTGTCTCTTATTTAGTTATAGATCCTCCTTGTGTATATGTATTATGTGTGTGTTTGTTGGGGATTTCTCACCTAAATTACTTGACACTAAAATAGCGCTATCATTGTTAGCTCAACAACCACTAAAGGCTACAGCCATACAAGCCTCAAAATTTATAGACTTAATTGGCTTTCAACCTCCCTTTTTTCTAGAAAAGGACGTTGCTTCTTTTTATAAAATGATTATACAAATTTTGTGCTAAAGAAACGTTTGACATTGCCTTGTTGGGAATAATCCACTCCAAATTTTGCAAGAAAATGATATGTGTTTCAATTTTTGTTTTGGATTCTTAATTCAAAGGAATGCATGTTAGAGAAATTTTGATGAGAATTTAATATCACATGTAGATGTTAATATTTCAATTGTTTTGTCGGGAAGTAAATAAACCTACTTTTCTTATTTTCCTATATTCCATTAATCCATTCCCAATTATTTCTCATTTAAACATTTTTCATAATTATATCATACTTTCTTATATTTTTAATTAAATTTATTAACATAGATGATTAATTTTTTTTTTGTAAAAAGAACAATTTAAGAAGAAAAACGCTCATAGTTTTACTCCTGTTTCAGGGAAAAAAAAGGCAAAGGTTATCATGGCAACATGTTAAAACAAATAAATTTGGAGGCCTAAAGAGCCGTCGCTTACCAAACACTTGCCCGTTAAGTACTTACCGGTATAATTTAACACTATTATTTACTTATCGGATAAGATTTTAGTCCACCAAAACGATATCCTATGGAAGTCTGTGTGAAGGTTCCACACTCAACAGTTACCACACGAATTAATTAACCCAAGAACAAAATTAATTGCATCCTAAATTAGTGAGACTGATTGAAACGTGGGCCAAGTATGGAAGTCTAAATATGCAGATTTGTCTTCAGAGATCCACAGTTCGGGTGAGCTACGTCTGAAAAAGAAGACTTCATAGTTCTGGTGAGCTAAATCTGAAAAAGAAGACTTCACAGTTCAGAGTTCGGGTGAGCTAAGTCTGAAAAAGAAGACCTCAAAGTTCAGATGAGCTAAGCTTGGAAAAGAAGACTTCAGAGTTCGGGTGAGCTAAGTCTAAAATATAAGACTTTAGTGTTCAATTACCACATGAATTAATTAACCCAAAAATATTGCATTCTAAATTAGTGGGATTGATTGAATAAGAGGGCACATGTCAATCAAATGAGTCTAATTGAACTGCTTGCAAGACTTATCTTCAGAACTTTGAACTGTGCTTATAAGACTTCATTTCAGATCTTTGAAATGTGCTAGTATGGAAGTCCAAATATGCAGACTTGTCTTTAGAGACATGAAATGTGTTTACAAGACAAGTCTTGAAATCACTCTGATTAATCACTCTTCATACTTGTACTCTTGAAATAGAAGACTTCAGTGTTCAGGTGAGCTTCTCAGGCGTACAGATACAAGTCTGAAGAGTCATTTTTTAGAGTTTTTTAAGAGAAGACTTGAAGAGCGCCCAAGTGTCAAATCTGAAAACGAAGTCTGAAGACCTTAGTTCAGAGTTATTCAAATACTCAATATCTTTGAAAAATATCCCATGGTAAAGCTTGCATCATACAGAGCAAGACCAGAGGCCCTCTAGACTCACCAACCAAAAACATGGCCAACCAATGCCCATTTGGTCAACAAAAATGAAGACGGAGTCTGAAGATGATTTAGTCCAAGAGGATTTAGTCATGAAGTTGTCTGGAACCAAGAGCTTAGATATAGAGCTCAGACACAGAGCTCGGACACAGAGGGCATGGAGATCGGAGTCTTGCGTGCAAATTCCTAGTACTCGAATACAGAGCTCAACTCCCAAACACAGAGCCTCTGCATAGTACATGTAAAGCCTCTGGGTCTCCTACTTAGCCCGTCTGTGTAAAGATTCCATGGCTCATCTGTTACCACACAAATTAATTAACCCAAGAAAATCAATTGCATCTTAAAATAGTGGGATTGATTGAAACGTGGGCCAAGTATGGAAGTCTAAATATGTAGGCTCGTCTTCAGAAATCTGAAATGTGTTTACACGACAAGCCTAAATCTGCAGACTTGTCTTCAGAGATCTGAAATACCCCTTGGCAAAGCTTGCATCATACAGAACAAGACCAACAAGAGCTCCTCTGGTCAACTATCCAAGTCCTCTAGGTCAAGAAAATGTTTACTACTTAAAGATTTGGGTTTCAAATACATCCAGAGACCCTCTAGTTAAACATTGCATCCCTCCCAAATTCATCACATTATACACACCACTCAGAAACAATTTGAACCAATGATGGAAGTCTGCAGACTTATCTTCAGAGATTTGAACTGTGCTTACAAGACTAAATCTAAATCTACAGACTTTTCTTCAAAATCTGGAAAAAAAAAGACTTCAAAGTTTAGATGAGCTTCTCAGGCGTTCAAGTCTAAAGAGTCATTCTTCAGAGTTATTGCAAGAAAAGATACAATTTTCTCATAACACCTTGGATGAGACAATCTTATTCTAGTTATCACACAGATGCGATAACTCATAGTCATCACATCACAAGGATGACCTTCAAAGATCATAAAATATTAGTAGTTACAAATATTAATTAATTGTATGGTAGTTTGATGATAACTGGATAACCATTGGATTAGATAGTTTTTTTTCCATTGCATTTGGAACCATCATCTAAGAATCTACCAATCTAATTTGGATGTAAAATTTTCAATCAGATCCGATTCGGTTACAATTAGATATGAATTTACGGTGGATCCATTTAATCATTGTTTGGAGCCACTTTTATTTTTTAAGCTATCTGTACGTGGCTTATGTCTTTCAAATTAATGAAGCAAGAGGTTAAGTTGTTCCAACCTAAGAGGTTGGTTGATATGACACTTCTCCAAAAGCATGAAAACGTCAAACATTCTATGGCCGAAGGATTATCGATTGGAAACCATGATCAATTTGGTTTCTTTGGAGGGATGTGGGCTGATTCAATCTGATATCTATATGGGTATGAATGACTACTCTATTGTAAGCCTCGCAGGGGATTCTTGCTTAACATTGAATTTCATGATTAAGTGCATAGCAAATCCAAGTCATACCTAAAAAATTCTTTACATACCATAAAAGAACATACGATTTGTGGAAAACAACAAAAGTTCATTCAAAACAACAATAAGAAAACAAGCATGGTGCATCATCATATCATAGTTTCAATATCATGACTTTTGGCTAGGGTAGGCCATACAACTAATAAGTTATGAACTTTTCATCAAAGACATCTTCTAAAAGAAGTGTTGTATCGGCTGCCAAATCGACTGGGGTAATGGCAATCACATTTGTCTTTTGGTGTTTCACATTGTTGTACTCTGTTCGATGAACACAAACTTGGAAGAGGAATGGAATCCATTCGGACTTCTTCAATTGTAATTGGCAGCCGTTGGCCTCTTCATGGACGAAATATAAATCATTCACATTAATTTTGAGAGGAAATACGTTAATTAAACTCAAACCAAAAGCAAACTATATAACAACAAGAAGAAGAGCACGAACCACAAAGCACATTTTTCTTTATTATCAATTAATGCCAATATGTTGTAAAAATCTTAATCTGAATAAGAACAATAAACACACCTGCATCAAGTAATCAACTTCACCTGATTTCACTTAGAACATGTTATAATTAAACCTGTTTGTGAAATTTGAAACATGTTCTAAACCCTAAATCTATTTACCAGAAATTAAATGAAAAGGAAAGGAAATGCACTTGATTGCAAAATTAAGGTCTGCTTTCATGTTTTGAGAACAACAGAGATCAAGCGACACAGGACAATGTAACAACAGAGAACAATCACAGAGCAGAATTAGGCTTGCACATAGCGTGAATGTGGTGGTGAGGTTAGTGTTTTGAGAATACTGATTGAAAAGAGCATAGGAGCCGAACATGGGAGATAATTCAGGGGCGTGGGGGTGGGGAAGAAACGTGGGAGGTGGAAAAGAAACGCGTCAAATGTGGAGAGGTTATCTGTTGTTAAACTTGTACCTGATGTATAAGAGGATGTACCTCTTAAAATTCAACCCATAACCGTTTAAGCTCCTTATATATAGTATATATATATATATATATATATATAGAGAGAGAGAGAGAGAGAGAGAGAGAGGGGGGTTTAGGGAAAACCCTAAAAAATAAAAATAGAAACTAATGAACACTTTAATAATCGTTTACCTATACGGTGTATATATGTGTATACAAAAAATATAATATGTTTTTTTTGTTTCAATGCGCGTATGCATGTTATACACGTGTGCTTAATGTAAAAATTATTTATATATATAGTGCATATCATACAAATAAATGATTAATAAAGTGTTACGTTTTTTTACGATTTTCTCCTAAAACAAACAAAATTACCTCCTCCGTTAAATTATATATATATATATATATATATCTAATACTTAAAATTACCTCCTCCGTTAAATTGTTATCGAATTTATACTCCACGTACCCATCATTACCCACCACCTCTATGAGTAATGGGTTATGATATCAACTCAAAGGATGCCATGCTTCAAAATTAATCAATCCATCCTTCAGCTGCCATTTTTACATAATATACATTATTCCTTTCACTACTTAATTGCTTACAGCTTACATAGTCAGAGGATTAACGAGAATGTTGTCCAACTTACGAGTAAAATGACAACGTTTCAATCATATTATTTCTATAACAAATCACATAGGAGGATGTGAAGCTGAGGATTTTTATCGAGTAGGTGCACCGTATAGAGGAACCACATTAATCCATCTTGATAGATCTTTTGATCAAACTCTTTTAGTTATAATGAAAAGTATTTGATAAAAAACTCTTAGAAACCATTTTTTATGCATGAATTACTGTTCATTGATGCATATTACTTACAATTCAAGATTACAAATAAATTGTGTATAAGTATAACTTATTAAACATTTATTTTTGAATTCGTGTAACTAACAACAGATAAACATAATCGTATACAAGATAAACATCTTATTTTAAATATATAAAATATAAAATATAATTAAGATAATTGTTATTGGATGTAACAGCAACACCACCCTTTAAGAAAACGTATTTGTAAATTACATATGATTTAACTGTTATCATAATTTTCATGATTTAAATATGTTATTGTTCAAACCCGACCCTAACTGTATTATACTAGAAAAGTACTCGCACAATGTAGCGAGATACATCTCGATTTTAGTGTTTCGTTTTTTTTTTTTGTCTTACTCGATGTTCTAATATGGTTTTATGTGGTTTTGAGAAAAAGTTAATGTTTTTATTTTTGAATAAAATATAAATATGAAGATATCATAAAAAAATATTGATATTACAATCAAACTAACTATTTAAAATTTCTTTTTTTTTTTGTGTATTTCCTTAATTCATTTTTTTTATTTTTGGTTTAATAATATAATTTTTTTAAAGATAATAATTAATTATTTTGTTAGAACTCAATGATTATCGTAATTATATTTTAGTTTTTTTTATATATACAATAAAATGTTTATCCTTAATTTGATTATGTTTATCTGAAGTTAGTTACACGAATTCAAACATAGAGCTTTAATAAGTCATACTTACGTATAATTTACTTGTAATATTGAATTTTACTTGTAATATTGAATTTTAAGTAATATGAATCAATATACAGTACTTCATGCATAAAAAATAATTTTTAAGGATTTTTATCAAATGCTGTGTATATAGATATAGATATGGTTTAATTGTTCAGTGACCTACTCGTATGACTGGAAGAGTATATACTTGAAAGTTCAAACCATCTTCACCAGCTTTTTCTCCCATATATTCTCTCCTCTTCTTCCTCCTTAGACCAATTCCGTCTCCCTCAATCTTCGGTAGATAAAAACTCCCATATACATACACTCCACCTTCACCTTCTCACCCTCCCATGGCTTCCTCACTCTTTTCTCTTCTCTTCTTCATCTTCTCTCTACAACTCCTCTCTCTTTCTCCCACCCTTTCCACATCCCGCCACCTCCTCCATGATCATCCCACCCACCACCCTCAACCACCGTCCTTCACCGTGCCTCTCAAACACGTCGATTCCGGCAAAAACCTCACAAAGTTTCAGCGTTTACAACGTGGTGTAATGAGGGGTAACCTCCGGTTAGAAAGACTTATCAATAACATGATGGCGAGTTTATCTGTTGATTCGAGTTCCAAAGTAACATCACCGGTTCACGCTGGAAACGGAGAGTTCTTGATGAATCTGGCTATCGGAACTCCACCGGAAACTTATTCCGCCATCATGGATACTGGTAGCGATCTTATTTGGACCCAATGCAAACCATGCACCAAATGTTTTGATGCTCCAACGCCCGTTTTTGATCCGGAAAAGTCATCGTCTTTCTCAAAAGTTTCGTGTACGAATAGTTTATGTAAGGCTTTGCCCACTTCGGAATGTGCAGCAGATGGGTGCGAGTATTTGTATTCTTATGGAGATTACTCATCGAGCCAAGGGATTTTGGCGAAAGAAACGTTTACGTTTGATAAGGTGACGGTGCCGGAATTAGGGTTTGGTTGTGGGGAAGATAATGAAGGCAGTGGGTTCGATCAAGGTGGTGGGTTAGTAGGGTTAGGAAGGGGGCCATTGTCGTTGGTTTCACAGCTCAAAAAATCGAAATTTTCTTATTGCTTGACCTCTATTGATGATGATGATCCATCATCTGGAAACCCTACCAGTACTCTTGTAATGGGGTCTTTAGTGAGCCAAATTTCAAATGATAGTGTTCTAACCACGCCATTACTCAAAAACCCATCACAACCATCGTTTTATTACCTTTCACTCCAAGGGATTTCCGTCGGAAAAGTTGATTTGCCGATCAAGAAATCAACTTTTGCGATCAATGCAGATGGGAGTGGCGGACTGATCATCGATTCCGGTACCACCATCACGTATCTTGAAGAATCGGCTTTCGAATTGGTGAAGAAGGAGTTTGTTTCTCAAACGAAACTGAAGGTGGATAACTCGGATTCAACTGGTCTGGATTTGTGTTTTGAGTTGCCGGAAAATGATGGGTCTGGAGAGATGAAGATCGAGATTCCGAAGCTGGTTTTTCATTTCGAAGATGCGAAGTTGGATCTGCCGGGGGAAAACTACATGATCGGAGATTTGAATGCGGGAGTGGTGTGTTTGGCGATGGGAAGTTCGAGTGGGATATCGATATTTGGGAATATACAGCAGCAGAATATGATGGTGGTTCATGATCTTGACAAGGAGACGTTGTCGTTTATTCCAACTAAATGTGATCAGTTATAATCTTCTATTTTCAAGATTTGTATGTAATTGTTTTGTTTTGTTTTTTTGGTTTTTAAGAAAACCAAAATCAGTTTACAGAATATCGTCTGGTACCATGAATATCATGAATAACAATTATGTGTAGCCCTTTCCCTCTTTATTTCTACAATTAGATTTCCAGATATTTAAAGGTAGAGGGTTAATATGTAATTATTAGAAGGTGGTTATGTAAATATAGGAGGTTGATTATGTGAACTTAGTAGGGGGTGGTTTTTGTCCTTTAGCTCGGTTGGTAGGTAAAGAGATGGAACGATTTTGCCTAAATACAAGACATGTCATGAGTTCGATCTTCCTCTCCCCATGCTAGCCTTAGTCGCTGAATGAACCGACAAATGTTCTCTTCAATTGATGTCTTTGGATGTGAGGCAGGTTGGGGTTACCGGTAATCAATTGTTTTGCTTATATACATGGGTTGCATCTCCAATAACTATTAAAATAGAGATTTTTGGAGTTTTCTTATTCCAACAACCATGCTAAAATAAAATAAAATAAAAAGTTAGAAATGTAAAGAAATCTCTAAACTTAATATTTAAGAGAAATATATTTTAATTGATTAATGAGATTGAATAGATATGATATTGTAATATTCTGGTTGTTATTTCAAGTTTATATATATATATATATATATATGTACGGATATGTATGTATGTGTGTAATATTTATGTTGGAAATTAAAAAAATTATTATTAATTTTAAAATAAAAGGGGGAAGGTCGGCTGGATTGTGCCGACCCACCATCTCTCCTCTTTCTTTCTTATGTATATATATAATTTTGGGAAGAAGGAAAGGTACACATACATACTATATTTAGAAAGTTATTCTCTAAAGAATCAGAGGGATTGCACAGGAAGAAGAAGATTTCAAAGGCTTTGATTCTCGATTTCTAAAGGTGAGTGTATTAAGAGCTTTGGATATGAATTGCTTACATACAGTTTGATAAGCATT